ACATGCCTTCCCAAGGCCTGTCTGGGTTCCCACCGCTAGAGCTCCCGGACCGGAGGAACCGACGAGTGACACTGCCAGCACTCGAAGCTCCTTCCCAGCCTGCCTTTCTCATCAGGCTCTCAACGGTCTCCTCCTTCGTCCACCCCTGATCGATGGCAACGTCTGGAAGGTAGGTGGCTCCATATCGTCTGCCCCTGTGAACAAACGATATGCGGATCCCATGCGTCCCTAGCTCCCAATCAAGCGCATGAGAACAAGTCTCAAAGTTTGAGAGAAGAGTAAGAGAGCAGGAAAGAGAGGGAAGAAGCTGTAATGGTATCGGGGAAAACCTAGTGTCTCCAAATGCCCTAGATGGTTGTGAGTTAGCATGTTATATACTTAAGTAGACTTTCCTTGTACGTGGTTCCATACGATGTCAACGCATATGATTTCAGACCAGAGCTAAGCTCCTGGGCATCAAAAGTGCCAATACAGCCCCGGAGGGACTTATAGCCACTCCTGGAGACGGTGTTCCAAGTCACAAAGAGTGGGTATGATGCATCCGGAGGAGTTCTGCGAAGGGTCTCGCTGTAGCTCGGTTTGTGCGGAGAAAAGATAGATGAAGTATTAGGGCTAGGGCTAGAAGATATAGAAGTATTGCTCGTCAGTGCGGAGCGAGAAGAACTGGTAGATAGTGCTGGTGGTGTTGAGGTCGATACACTGGAGGAACCCGACGAAGCCGCACTTTGAAGACGGCGAATACTAGGCGGCTGTAAGGTGCTCGAGAATGGTTGTCCTTTGTCCATATCATCCTGCGGCTCTTGACCATCAGTGTCTACAGGAGGTTCAACAGAGCCTCCTCCCTCCAAGTCTTCATTGTCTGCTGCACGTAAAGCAAGAGCCTTTGCAGTTTCAAACTCTGCCCATAACTCTTCTACTACAGAGAGCTTTGGGGGTTTACCTCCATCAAAAGAGGCTGCTAGCGTTTCGAAGCAAAAATAACATTGTGCAGGAGTAGCCATATTTGAAGAGCGATGTCAGTTGAAAGGTAAGACAATAAAACTCCCTTGCCTTTTAAGGACGCTGAGTAGAACTGATGTATAAATGAGTCGGCAGCTAACAGAAGACAGGAGGAAATTATATCATGTCAACAGATGCAGGACAATAGGGAAGCCTGGCCACCAGATGATTGCGGGCTGAGCAAGAGCGGAAGAGAGGGCGCTTTCCCCGGGGTTTTTGGCTTGTACTTGCAGTGTTTCCCGGCGTGATCTCCGCAAGAGAGCTTCGGTTGTATCTCGCCCTCCTTTATAGTTGGAGAGCTGCTGGTGCTGCAGCCTGTGCAATTATTATGGCGGATCAAGGCAAAAGTGGACGTTGAGAAAGAGTTGAAGTTGGAAAAGTCTTTTTGCAACTGGAAGAGGACAGACGTCATGAGTCGCGCTTAGTCATCATATCTTGGCGCTGGTCGCATGAGCCTGGCTTGCGGCTGGCTGCCTAACAACACCACGTCCGGCGCCTTGTATTGGCGGGCCAACGTCAGTAGCGGTATGGATTGGGACAGATCACCGGCCAGGGAGGGGTAAGTATAGCACGGGAAGACACATAGCAGGTGGTACGCCTACGGGTGGAGTAAAACTGCCTTAAATATGCTATTTCCACTCAACGTTGACACGGAAGCTCGACATGAAAAACAGAGCTTGTAGGCATTCCGTCTTCACAGTCATCTGAGCCGATCTAGGGAGTTGCTTAGGCTAGCATTTGGACCTCACGCCCTTCATAGGCTTTCCTTCCACTGACTGCTAACTATACGGGGTATTTATAGCGAACGAGGCAATGGGAGACGCAGACAAGCACTTGCCCAAGTCCAAAAGCTGGGGAGAATTCAATATTAAGCCGTTAGAAGGATGAACAGCTACCCATATATACGCGGCGTTTGATCCAAGCCTCAAGGGTAGGTGTTGTACTTTTTGGAAAAGGCACCCTCGTCATAATAGTATATCATAGTATACTGTGGTTTTGGGTACATAGCAACAGGGCCTATCTGACGGACTGCAATATAGTGGGCGCTATACTAGCGGGCAGGGATCACCAGTTACGTCGAAGTGGAAAGACTGGCGGCTGGGTGAGGAGTTTGTTGGGCAGGAATATGCCTACTCTTATGCAAGTTCTCTTCATACATGGCATCTTCTCCATAGCTCCGAACAAATGCTTGTGTCTTTATCTGAGTACTCCAGCCACATTATATCCAGTATTAGCATCAAACATGGAATATGAATGGCCATTTACTGGCTGGCATTCGACCACTCCGGGCCTGTCAATACCTGACAGTCAAGTGATTCAGCGCCTAACAAAGTGATACACGCAGCATATCCGGCACTCGTACGGCTGGTGGGCGGGAATGTGAGCCACACGGGTAGCTATTCAAGTTTAAGGGTATTCCGAGTGCATAGGGGTATCAATTTTCTGCAGAAGAGAGTGTTCATATCCGAGGTTGAAGGGATAGCAGTAGGAAGCAGTGTGTAGAGCCTCAAGGATATTTGGTGCCGGGCTTAGGTTTCCCTGTTTGTTGGGAAATGATTGATAGGTCCTCCAGCCATCAATCTTTGCAAGAGAAATTGCAGGGTTATACACTTACACATAAGTGCTCATATTATTTGCGGTCGCCTTTGGGTATTTTCATCCCCATCATACCCAACATATTGCTCCCAGGACCAGACGAGCCACCCTGACTTCCGAGACTCTCGAGTAGATTCCTTGCCAGATTTATGTCGATTTCGTTCTCGTCAAGATCATCCTCATCCTCATCCTCACTCTCATCTTGATGGACGCTACTATCATTGCCCCTTATAGGAGCTTTCCCCTTGGCAGCCTTCCTGGAGTTGAATTGATCAAAAAACCCGGCTTGCCGTAACTCCGCTTCCATCTTCTTAGACATGTCTTCGATTTCGCCTGAATCATCGTCACCATCACTGGGTCCCCCGTCGAGATCTTGGATGCGTTTGGGCCTAAATGAAGACCCCTTATTCGAAGCAGTTGGCATGCCCATCATCTCCTTCATCATTCTTGAAAATTCCTCCTCATCAAATGAAGCCTCCTTGTCCTCACCGTCGCTGCTAAACTCCTCGTCAGTGTCACCATCACTGTCATCTGACCCGAATTCGTTAATAAGCCCTGCCCCATCGTAACCGGCGGTGTCATCATTTAGAAATTCCTCAAACTTTGAGACTATTCTTTGCAAATTCTCTTGTGCAGCTTTGTCGCCGAAGTCACCACCCCGTTTCGCCTTCTCCCCACTACCTCTTCCTTTTAGCTCACTTTCAAGGTCTTCAAAGCCAATGTCAAGCCACGATTCATCATCATCTACCATATCCCAAGTTTTTATTTCTGCATCCGTAGGAAGAGCCTCTTCCCCTGTGTCAACATCTTCGAGAATAAGTTTCATTTCTCGCACATATTGTTTATCACGGTTCTGGGGGTCAGACAAGAGCATTTCAAAGCCGCAAGCCAGTTTCATTCCCATATCGGCACGCTCAGAATCCTTTGAGTTTTTGGTCGTGGGAACACGTCCCTTCCATTTTGCTGGTGCTGGAAAATCCTGACTTTTCAACTGGGCAAACCCAACCTTTGTGAACTTGACACTGACTGTGACAAAATCTGTAGGTTCAAATACTAAATTAATTGAATCTTTACCCTGTAACGGCCGAAGTGAAATAGGGTCCCGGAGATAAAAGGCTTCTATAGCCGAAGATATATACCCCGGCCTGGTCCGTAGTAAATGCGCGATCTTTCGCGGAATGGTAACCAGAGAGGAATGCAGGTTATTCTCAATTTGATTTGGGTAGTTCCGGAGTCTATAAAAGGCCTCTTCCTCAATTGTGGGTGACCGCATCAACCGTTTGGGCTCAGTAGTGACGATGTCCCTCGCGTTGCGGAAAGTCAGTTTCTCAACATTGCCTTTCTTTTTTTCCATAGCAGTTGTGGGCGCTCCAGGCTTAAGGATGACTAGCTCTCCCTTGTTGATCCAGACCTAAATCAAGGATTAGCATGTATGTGTATACATATCTATTTAGAAGTTGACGCTGTTTGCCTTACCCGGTTATCTGCTATTTCAGGCTCTAACCAAGCAGGTAATGCTGCCGCAGCCTCTACTAGTAAGAATTCGCCATCACTGTCCGTTACCTTCACCCAGATATTATCAAACTTTCGTGAAACTTCGCGGAGGAGATATACAATGACCCATTCATCTTCGATTGAATCTCCATATTCGGTTCTTCCGCGAAGTAAATGTATGCCTAGATGATTGACATACCAGTTAGTATGGTATAGCAATTTGTATTAAACCGGAGGAGAGAAATAAAACGAAATTACCATCCTCCTTTGTAAGCTCCAGCTTAAAATTATCTCTCTGCCATATGTAGTTCTGCAAGTACTGTTTCACTAATCCCGATGCGTACTTCTGCACTTCGACCAGAAAATTTCGGGTTGAGTCTGTTGAGTCCACATCCGCTGTGGGAGTGCTGGTCACCGGAATCCAGTACAGCGAGTACTCCACACAGTCATCGGGGAGCTGAGGTTTAGGAATCGGTCTGAACGTAGACCGGAGCCACGCAATGTCTTCTTCAGTAGGACCGGCCATATCTCGTCTCAAGTCGTCTTCGAGTCTCTTGTGTGTCTATTACATCTCGTCTTTTCTCTATATTTTTTTGGTCACTTTTCTTTCTTTTCTTTTCTTTTCTTTTTCTTTTTTTTTTTTTTTGGAATATTTTAGAGTTTTGATGACCTCATCGGAGCCTTCGGGATTACATAAATCCACAAGTAGGACGCTAAACCCAAAAGAGCTATATGTAAACAACGTCACAAACACGCCAAAAAAAAAATCACGGTTCGGCTTTTGATCCCTTTTTCGATTCCACGATGGTGTTCCAACTTGGTTATCTTTAATATAAGATCAAGTGTCGCGTGGCCGACCGGCTAATGGTTTACAGGTCTAAGCGCGTTAATTAGGACCCCGAGCTGTCAACATGGCATTTCCGTATATCGACACTCCACGCACCGAAGTGGATGGAAACGCGACCTTTATCAGCCAGGGACAGCGAAGCGCAACACGCCATAACCTTTCTGCACTGGACTCAGTTGAGAATTCGTTCGTATCGCCAACGAAAGATCACGATATATTACGTGAAACATCTGATTCGCGCAATCGACAGCGTAGAGTCTCACTTCGAACCCCTCGAGCAAGCCAAATTCTTAAATCAGCCAGACTCGATAAACGAACATTGCCCAATTCAGCATTGCCCAAGGGGGAGTTCACTCCCCTCATGAATAGCGTTACGAAGAATAACTTTTTGCGAACTGGTGGTGATCGCGCTCGAGGTGTGCCGGCCACGCCCGCGCTATCGAAAATAGATGAAAGCAATATATACGAAGGAGCTTCCATGAATAGTTCCGCCTATGATGCAACTCCTGTGCCTCAGGGTGCACCAAGCAGCGGCCAGAGTACCCCGTTACCTACACTCCCCCAAAGAGATGGCGCGGGTGGGGTAATTTGTGACGGACAGAATATGACTTTGAGGGAACAAGAAAATGTACGGATTCTCATCTTGCCCTTTCCATGAACATAGACGGCTGCTATGTAGGTAGAAGAATCTGTACTAACATTTCCTCTTTACAGATTATCAACAAGTTTGATAAGGAGAATTTTGGACTCAAGTTGAAAATACATTATTTGGAGGAACAGCTACGAAAGGCCGGGCCTGAGTTGAACCAAGCCGCCCTAAAAGAAAATACGGAACTGAAAGTGTCGAAGCTCACCGTACAAAGGGATTTGCATCGATGCAAAAAGAGCCTTATCCATGCTGAACGCGACCTGGAATCCTGTCAGCTTCAGCTCCAGGAGCTCCGTGCGAAGCTGACTTCAAAACAGTCTGATGGCGCATCTCAGGAAACAATAAAATGGATGCGTCAAGAAATGGAGTCCAAAGACGCGGATATAGCAGATCTTCAGGAACAATTAAGATCAGCGGAATCCAAACGGGCGGAGGAGGCTGCCAATCTAAGGGAAGAAATTAATGAGTTGGAATATACCATTCGAGAAAAAGACAGGCACATTGAGGAAAAGGAGGAAGAAATTGACAATCTTCAATCTAAACATGCTGATGAAAACGCCAATATGGCCGATTTGGAGACGGAGCTTGAAGATGCCAGAAGCAAAATTGAAGATCTTCAGGATAGCCTTGAGCGTGCAAGGACTGAGACCGAAGATGCCGAAACAGCTTGCGAGCAAGCTCTCCAGGAAAAAGAACAAGCTGTTGAAGACTTGAGAGAACTTCAAGACGAGATGGCAAATAAATCCATTTCTGCTTCAGGGCTGACTCGTCAATTGGAGGAGAGAGCAAATAAACTGGAGTCCGAGCTTACCTCTGTTCGACAGCAATATGTCACCCTCCAAGAAAAACTGGATGAGAAAGCACAGTTCGAACACCGCTTACAGGAGCAAATCAAGGACCTCAGACAAGAGAACTCGTCGACAGAACGCGAACTGATCTTCCTTCAAAAAGAACATGCCAGTTGTCAAGGAAATATTGAGGATAAAATGCATTCTGAAAATAGATTGCAAGAGCGAATCGAAGATCTTAAGCAGGAGCTTTCATCTGCCAAATCTGATCTGCAGCACGAGCTTGAGCAGGCTCGTCATGAGAAAGCAATTGCAATTCGTGACCAGAAGTCCACTTTAGCTCGCCTTCAGGCTCTTGAGGATGAATTACAACACAAAGGAGAAACAAAGACCCTGCTTCAAACCAGGCACGATGCTTTAACAAACGAATCGAAGGCCCTTCAAGGGGATCTGGATCGAGCAAAGAGGGTTATTGCCGAGCTGGAGGAAGACGCTGCAGCTGAGCGACAAGAATCGCTGAATACGTTGGAAGAAATGAGAAACCGCCACAAAGACGAGATTGATCGACTAAACTTGCAGATTACGACACTTCGTCGTGAGGTAGACAAGAAGGACTCCTTATTCAATTCGGACTTGGACAAATGGGAAAACATCAAGCGATCACTAGAGCTGGAACGTGACCGGGCACTGCAGCAAGCTGAGGCACATAAACGAACAGTTGACAGTCTTCAGCAAATGGAAACGACAAAGTCTGGGCGGGAGAAGAGATTGCAAGACATCATTGACAGCGAGAAACAACGCCGTCTCCAACAGGAAGAACTCCTCACTCGTCAGATAAAAGAGCTCAATGATGACATTTCATCTAGAAGGGAGGCATCCGAAACCCAACGATCCGAGCTACTCTCGCTGAAGGAACAACTCAGAGTCAGCCGGCGTGAAGAACAAACCCTCAAGGAAAAAGTTCAGGGTTTGGAAGACGAAATTATTGTCCTGCAGGCCAGCTTGGAAGAAGAGCAACAGTATGCTTTGGCTCAACGGAAGGCTGGCAGCTTAGACACTGGCGGTCACCTACAGAGTATTGCACAGGAGAAGCAGGCCCTTAGAGAAGAACTTACTGCCACGAAATCGGCGCTCAATGAACTCCGAGTTACCCTTGCTGAGGTAGAAGCTGAGAGGGATGGCCTCCAAGATGAACTTGCTCAATATGACCATGTCGGCGATGCAACACGAGTAGATCATGAAAAACTGGAGCTGAAGAAGGCAAAGTTACGTCTAGAACGAGACGTTATTCGGCTAAATACCGAGAAAATTTCATTGCAGGAAGCCAAAGATGCCCTTCAGAATGAGGTAGACAATGAGCTTGTCCGTGCTGCGGCAGAGGAGGAGCGCCTGGCTGCAGAAATCAGCCGATTACAAGACAAGTTATTTATGGCTGATGATAAGAAAGATCGCGAGCTTCTTTCATATAGAAGCAAGACTACTCGACTTGAAGCTCGCCTCAAGGAGCTTGAAGCTCATCTTCATAACCCTGTGCCACCGGAGCCTGCGTCTCCCCCAGACCATGCTGATGTGTCAATATTCCGCCAATGCCTAGCGGAAACTCGGGAGCGTGAGAGAATTATCCTCCAGCGAGAATCAGACTTGAAATCATCTATTCGACTGCTCAAGACTCGTATCACTGATTTAGAAAAAGAGAACCATGATCTCCAGATTGCGAAATATGAAGGCAGCTCTCCGATTCCCTCTTCCCCTGCTTCACGGCTCGAGGAAGAATTGCGAAATCTCCGTGCTCAAAATATTGAAGCTCACAAAGCCTTGAAGGAACTAAAGGCCAAAAACCGTGAACTTGAACAGCAAAGGTATTCTGCCAACGAGGAGAGCCAGAACTTTAGTGAAGTACTTGATCTTTCTACGTTCGATCCAGAATCCATCGCGGCCAAGTTATCGAGACGTGAAGCCCGCATTCGTGAGCTCGAAGGTGACATCCAACGAATCCGCGGAGAGCGATCTACTGCTCTTAAGAACCTCAACGCAGCGGATCGTAGGATACGGTTACTGCAAGACCGCCATCCCAAAGCTATTCAAGATATGTCGAAGCAATTGGAAAAACAGAAGAGTCGACATGACAGGGAATTGGAGGTTCTGCGAATGGAGCTTCTCTGGAATCAAGTACGTTTGATTCGAGCAGAACAGTTCCGTAGAGACCTTGCCTGGTACAAGGAAGTATCGCAGTATAGAGAACAAGAGAGGATTAGAACTACGTGGTATGTGTCTTTTCTTCACCAGCGGTGACATGATAGTTCCAAGCTAACATTGTTTGAGCAGTGCCCAAATAGAGCGCCAGATGATAGCTAATATGGGTATAGTGGTATCTGAAGCTACCGAGCAACTGAGTCCTATCCAGAAATTCAGAGCTGGTATTTCAGTCGCATTGTTCATCGCCCGAGCAAAGAGAGTGACAATTGAATGGAAGAAGAACTCACAAATAGGAGATCTTGTCAAGAGAGCCAAGAAAGACCAGCACAGAAAACACGGAAGAGTACTGCAGAGATGAGGTACATATCGCAGAAGATTTCTTTATCAACGATTAATGGATCTTTTTGCTGTTTCACTGGGTCGTATTGATTAAATACTTCTCTATTGTTAACTAGGTTGATAGCGTTCATTTCCTCCGCAGGAGGAGGCAAAATCCGGTGTTTGGTCCGGGCGTCTGGGTATTAGGAATCTGTTTATATGAGGCAATAGGCTGCGTTGTTTGGCAAGTTGTATATCAAAACTGGCTATGAGTAATTTTTGCGGCTTAATCTGATAATTGGTTCATTACTCCGTTCGCTAATATGACAATGACTGGGGGTAACTAGGAAGTCTTTCAACATGATGTCCCAACTGTAAGGGAAAATACGCGCGTAAGGAGAGCGCAATAAATAACTGGAGCTTGTTGTGAACACAAGGCAGTAGAAAACTAAGCGCCCTCGCTTCCAAACAAAGCGGTCCACTCTGCACTTTTGGCAAGGTCTTCGGGGCTAACAGTCGGTCGAGATCCCTTGACAGCCTTAACAAAGTCTTTGAGAACAAGCGGAGGCTCTAGGAGCTCATCTGGGTTTACATCCACCCAGGTCATTTCCATGGCCCCCTGATCGCCTGGAGAGCATGGAGTAACTTTTTGCACTCCATCCACCAGTACCTATATATAATGATTAGCCGTGGAAAATGTGAAAGAAATTAAATCGTTAGTTAAGGGGATCGATCCTACGCACCTTTTTATAATGAGTGGCGGATTGGATCTTGCGGACAGGTTGCATGAGCGCGTCCTGAACCGCAATGTTTATATCACTTCCCGAGTAGCCTTCGGTTAGTTCCGCGAGAGTTCGGTAATCAGGAACCGTCAACTCGCACGGTGTACTGCCTATACTTATTTTGAACATTTTCATCCGTGCAGCCATATCTGGCAGACTTATATAGACTCTTCGCTGGAAACGTCGTCGAATTGCCGAGTCTAGCTGCCAGGGAATATTCGTCGCTCCAAGGATCAACACTCCGCTTGAATCCTTGCCGACACCGTCCATTTGGACGAGAAGCTCGGTTTTGATGCGGCGTGACGCATCCGGTTCTCCTTCGCCACGGGTACCACAAAGGGCGTCTATCTCGTCAATGAAAACAATGGCAGGTTTATTTTCTCGAGCCATATTGAAGAGTTGCTTAACGAGCCTAATGATAACTATTAGTGAGTGTTCATTGTATCATATCCGAGATCATGCCTGGGAACTAACCTCTCACTCTCTCCCATCCATTTCGAGACAAGGTCACTACTGCTCACACTGAAAAATGTGCTCTTTGCCTCTGTGGCCACTGCTTTGGCCAGATAGGATTTACCTGTCCCAGGTGGTCCATAAAGCAGAATTCCCTTCCAGGGTTGGCGGTTCCCTGTAAAGAGTGACGGGAATTTAATGGGTAGTATGACGGCTTCTTGGAGAGCTTCTTTTGCGCCTTGCAGGCCAGCAACGTCTTCCCACCTTACGTTGGGCTTGTCCGTTAATATAGCCCCTGCCAAAGCTCCACGGAGCTTTTTCGACTCGGCGTCCTCATCGTCATCGTCACCTCTGCTAGAAATGGAGAAATCCACGTTAGAAATCAATTTTAAGCTGATACAGAAGATACGGAATCCAAACTTACCCTCCTTTCCCGCTGCCATGTGCAATCTTCCCATTTGCCCCAACTGCACTGGGTTTCTTCCGATTATCCAGTCCCGCAAGGTGGTTCTTTAATTTCTCTGCCCTCTCCATGTATTCTCCGGTCTTTGCCCGGATCATCTCCTTCGACTTGGGGTTTTTCTCCCATTTTAGAGCGAGCATGAACAGCTCGAGAGCCGAGTAGTATGTCTGGTATGCTTTCTCATAGTCGCCCGCATTATCAAGTTCAATCGCGCTCTTCACGGTGTCGATCGCCCGGCCGAGGAAATCGGTGTTACTCATGGTGTCCACTCTTCTAGAAGTGTAGTCTGACAAAAAGAAACCAAAGAAAAGATCGCAGTACTGCTCAATCCGTTGGCAACGCTATCAAAACAGTCTTGAATGAGGGGGGGCGATAGGCGTTCGGTGTTGGGTCCAAAAGGTGGTACTTTCGAATAGGGCTTTGACAGGGAAACGGGGGGATTTTTTTTAAAGTATCTCTGGGGTAGTATGCATATCGTTGATCTCTGCAATAAGAAACGATCGTCTGTTCGTCTGTAGGTGAAAAGTGGCAGCCTAAAATCCGCAAAATATCGATGTTGCCTCCGTTGTTGTTTGGACTGACCCCAGCTTCGACTTTTAAGCCCTTTTTCTTTTTGGGTTGCTGGGCGAGCGACTCAGATCTGCGATTAGATAAGAAAAACGGCCAACGGGGCGACAAACGACACAGCAGGCACATTCAAACAATTGCAATCCCTTCCAACGCTGAAGAAGACCGATTTCAAGCATGGCAGACGCCCAGAAGCAGCTTCAGGCTCTCAGTGAAGAGTATCAGAAGCTTCAGACCGGTCAGCCACCTGCGACTATCTCCAACCCCCAAGGTGGATGGTTAATTAAGGACTCCTCCCCCCGCTAACATCTGCCCCTCGATATTTACAGAGCTCGAAGAAGCTATCGCAGCTCGAGAAAAGCTTGAAGCCCAGCAGCAGGAGAATACGAGTGTGCAAAAGGTGAGATGCTATGCTGTATTGGTTGGAAAGGTGCCATTGCTGATGGTTGGACGCTGGCTAGGAGTTCAAAACGCTCGACGATGATGCAAACATATATAAACTCGTTGGACCAGTGCTTTTGAAGCAGGATAAGACAGAGGCCGTCATGGCTGTCGAAGGTCGTCTCGATTTTATAGAGAAGGAAATGTACAGTGAAGCCGTTTTACCAAGCAGGTGTGGCTATCCTTGACTGCGATACTAATTATTCTATCGACAGCAAACGAATCGAGAAGCAGATCACCGAGATACAGGAGAAAAGTGATAATAAGAGGGGAGAGGTATGTTGCTTGCATTCCTTTTCTCGAGCTTTCCTGAAAGCATGGCTCATCTCTATAAAATAGATCATCCAGCTACAGTCGCAATTGCAGCAACCACAGCCTGGTGGAGCTCCTGTAGCTGCCTGAGGACAATCACAGTTATGCATTTGATACTTTCAGAGTAACGATGATCTACCGCCGAACTACTCAGGCAACCAGGAGATGAATACCGAGTCCTACCAATGAGAGTTTCTCCATGTCTCTCTATCAGGAATAGGAAATAAGCCAGGGCTGTCAATATACCCATAGTCAAGCACTGGCTAGACGGAAACCGTCATTGAAAGCGGCGACTATCCCTGCTCTTGCTGGTCAGATCTGGCGCTACCGAGTTAATCATTAACTATTGAGCACAAAAATCATACAATCAAAAACATAATTAATATTTCTCTTCTCTCTTTAGAACACACGAACTTGAATCCTACGCACTCTAGGACATCATTCTATGAATGCATCAACATGTTCTCCCTATATTTACAACCTTATCCAAACGACCTCCATTTTACACACTCTAATTCTAGAGATAGGTATTTACTATCTATCCATTTATGCCTTGACAAGCAAGCTAGTGCCATCCATTTCCTCTGGCTGCTCAATACCCATGGCCGCAAGAACTGTGGGAGCAACATCACCGAGAACACCCCCTGACTTCTTCAAACTCCAGCCTTCAGGAGCGTTTGCCATGACGAATGGAACGAAGTTAGTGGTATGAGAAGTCTTGGGAGTTCCGTCTGCGTTCTTCATTTCCTCGGCGTTTCTAGAAGGAAATGTTAGTTTGACGATAACCACAGTGCACAGGCTCCTACACTTGAAAAACACTCACCCGTGGTCAGCAGTGACAAATAGGATGTATCCATGCTTCTTGCAGGCTTCATAGACGCATCCGATAGCAGCATCGGTGGCAGCCACACCCTGAATGGCGGCTTCATAGACACCGGTATGGCCAACCATGTCCGGGGGGGCAAAGTTGTTCATCAAGAACTCATACTTGCCGTCGGCGATTCTTTCCGCAAGTTTCTCTCCAACTGGCTTTGCGCTCATCTTAGGGTCGAGATCATAGGTTGCAACCTTGGGGGAGGGAATCATCTCTCTGTCTTCGCCTTCGAATTGCTTCTCAACACCTCCGTTGAAGAAGAAGGTGACGTGGGCATACTTCTCAGTCTCAGCGATGTGGCACTGCTTAAGATGCTTCTTGCTCAACCACTCGGCAAGGACGTTACCCATGTGTTGGGGGGCGAAAGCGATTGGGAAGGTATAGTCGGTCTTGTATCTGGTCATGGTGGTGATAGAGATGTTCTTGGGGTAAGGGAAGTCTGGCTTTGGAGACCGATCTACATCTCCTAGGAGCTGTGTGATTTCTCTGACACGGTCTGAGCGGTAGTTGAAGAAGAAGAGGGTATCATTGTCTATGTTTATCACAATCAGCGACCTGGTTGAACCTCAGAAGCTTGCGGGGTGTTGGCAGAGGTTGCTTACCTTGGACTCTGCGTTCCTGGCCACCGAAGATGATTGGCTTTAAGAACTCATCGTTTTCACCCTTTTCGTACCTTTCCTTGATCGTCTTGACAGCGTCATGGCTCTCCTCACCCTCCCCAGTGACAATACCCTTCATGGCGATCTCGATGCGGTCCCATCGCTTATCACGATCCATGGCATAGTATCGGCCAACGACGGTAGCTAGTTCACCTACACCTAGCTCTTGGGTCTTCTGCAGCAGCTGTTCCATGTATCCAGCTGCACTCTTTGGGTCCGTGTCTCTTCCATCGCCGAAGAAGTGGATGAAGACCTTTGGCACACACATCTCCTTTGCTACCTGAAGCAAGCCAAACAAATGGTTGATGTGAGAATGCACTCCACCATCAGAGATAAGCCCAAGCAGATGGAGTCTTCCGTTTCCATTCTTTGCATTCTCGAACGACTTGACGATGTTCTCGACTTTGCCTAGCTGACCCTTCTTCAAGGTCTGGTCGATGCGGACAACGTCCTGCCACACCACTCGTCCGGCACCGATGTTCAAGTGGCCGACTTCACTGTTGCCCATGAGGCCCTCTGGAAGCCCAACGGCAGTGGAAGAGGCATCAATCTCGGTGTATCCCTGGGCGGTCTTGGATCCCTCCTGAGCGAAACCGGACATCACTGGGGTCTCAGCAGCGGCAATGGCATCACCGTCCTTAGGGGAATCAGGCCCTGGAATGCCCCAGCCATCGATAACAACTAGATACTAAGTCAGTATATAAGTTCTACCCATAGATAGTATCATCTAGAAGTGCTCATCTATAGAGCGTCCGCCCCTCCGAGCATCAACAAACGGAGTAGATATTCAACGTACTCAACACCGCCTTGTTTTCAACCTTCGCCATGGTTAATAGAAGTGAACAGACACAATTGAGTGACGGTAGATCGATCAGCCAAAGCTATCAGCCTGTACCAGTGCGAGAGGTGCAAGAATCTCCAGAGCGAGTCCTCAATGGCGGGGGACGGCGAGAGTGATGGAGGGGCTTTCGCTGCGTCCCGGAACATCGTTTCTTCTTCCGCGCAAAAGTCCAGCTGGAAGAAGAAAAAAAAAAAAAATCCAACCGCAACGACGTCATTATTTCTTCAAATTCCCGCAAGACACTCAACAAGCCGGGGCCCCGTTGGACAGAGATATCAGAGCAAGCACCCTTGCATTCTCCCCGGAATAAACAAGGAGAAACAACACTGCATAATATCATAATATTAATGATAATAATATAATGTCCGTCCAGCCGTCGCCGTCACGCGCAACGCCGTCGCGAAAGACCCCCGGCGTCTCCTCCACGCATCCAAACACCCCGTCCATCCAACAGCCACAGGGACAGTCACAATCACAGCAAGACGAAGCAATAATCAGCTCCTCCGACCCAGCAGTCGCGCCTCCCTTTCCTCCTCCACAGACATTTGACATTCTCCCGCCCCTCCACGCCCTGCTGGCACGTCTCCTCTCAAACCAGTCATCCAGCTTCGCTACCGGCCAGCCGGGGGAGCCGGGCCTGTCTCAATCTACGGAGCAGACGCCCGGCGGCGGGATCGCGTCGTTGGATGGACTGGATCCAAAATCATTGCTTACAGGAGCCAGTGCGGTGAAGATACGCATTCAAAAGGCAAGAAATGCAGTTGAGGAGATGCCGGATATTGAGCGGACGATTGCCGAGCAGGAAGAGGAGATAGTGATGTTGGAAAAAAGGATTGGGAGGCTTAGAGGTGTTTTGGATGATTTCAGAGGGAGAAGTGAGAAGCTTGCGGGCGGATTATGAGTGCTATGCTTTTATTTCGCGTTTTTAAGGATGGCGGACTGTACGATAGATGAGCGGTGTCATGATACCAATTTCTTTTCTTTCCCTTTTCGATTTTACCAGATAGTGAATTTTGGGGTAATTGATGGTCAAAAAGTCGTTGCATTATAGGTGAGCTAGAGCTTCAGACCAGGACAGCCGGTGATGAGACACGGTTGCCATCGAGATAGTTGAATGTACAAATATATAAACAGGAACGAAAGGAAAACCAGCATGAACTAAGCAGAAAGTTGATATCATCCCACCGAAAACACCATGGATTGCTTGTTGAAGATCCATAACACATATTTTGACCGGTCATCGCTCCCAAAAAAATCGTGTTTGCACATAAAGGTTGAAAATTCATCGCTTTTTTTTACCCACTTTTTTTTTTTCTTTCTGTTTCCGTTCGAAGCAATGCACCGGCTCATGAGATCAAGGAAAGGGGAATAAAGAAGGGGAAAATGTCAGAGAGGGTAGGGTATATAAGTCGATTTAGACTGGGAGAGGGAAAGTGTTGGCCCATTCGGCAATCTCCTTTCTGAGCTCAACGATCTCCTTGACCGAGTCATCAGCAACCTTGGCCTTGAAGTCCTTGAGCTTGTTGGCTTCCTTGGGCAGCTTGCTCTGGACATCCTTGCAGATGT